GTAAATATACATTAAACAAATCCTATGTTATTATAACTTCTGTTCTAAGTTGGCCATAAGTTACTGTGTGAGAAATGGATAGATTTCAATATACTAAAAAGAAAAAGTAAGCTCTGTGATTGGCCTCCTAGACAGTGAACTTCTGAAGCCCCTTTAGGCGAGGTACTGCCTTTCAGAATTTTCCCAACATTGGCACTCAGACTGGGCACTGAACCCGTTTCTGAAGATGGACCAAATATGAAAGAGAAAGGGAGAGGACACTTCTCCAAGAAGCTCTATCATCTAACTATGCTGTCCATCACCAGAAAATGAGACCTTGCGTGAGTCAAACAAACTGGTCATCTCCTTTATCAAATTTCTGCAGGCCAAATACTATCAAACCAGTGGCTTAGTAAGAAATTTGCCTTTAAAGGGAACTCTTTTCTTAAAAGCCCAGCATCGTATTCCCTTCTGAACACCTCCCCAAAGATGTGTGTACTTCATTAAAAGGGCAAGTCTTATTAGCAACCACTCATCATGGGTGGTATGATGGAAGACACTGGGTCAGAAAACTCAGAATGAAGCTCCAATTCCATTAGCCCTGGGTGAACCAGGTAAAGCCATTTCTGGCACGCATACCCTTTCACCATTGTTGGTGTTGAAAAAGTAAGCTGCCACGGATTCCATGCCTCAAAAAAACAAATTCTGCCAAAAAGCTGTGAAGGTAATAAAACCACATAGTGGGAGGGAAATGATGGGAGGGAGAACATTGAGGTACAGAGGTCAGGGAGGTCCCACCACAATAGTGACATCTAAGACAAGGGGGAGCCAGCTGCATGAGGAGCCAGAGGTGAGCAGCGCAGGAGGTGGTAGAGGGATCTGCAAGTGCCAAGGTCCGAAGCTTTGGGAAGCTGGAATTAACTCAAAGGACAGTCACAAGCCAATAAAGGCACAACTGACGGCTGAATCACGGTCATCCAATAAATGCTCAATGAATATAAAAATTTCAATGGCCTCATCCTCATTTCACCCAGTCGGGGGGGCTCCAGGATTCAGACCCCTCCTTGTTTTACACTGGCACCAATGCCCCCCTCCTTACCTTCCCACCCACAGGCTCTTACTGACAAGCTCACTGATGGGGGAGGCAGTCTTTTGGCTCCCACAAGGCCAGAGTTAAGACCAAGATTTGCAAACTGAAATGTAACACAACAGGGAGAGGTGGGGACTGAGGCAAGCTGCAGAGCCCAGGCGCTGCCCACAGGGGTGGCCATTACTCAGCTGCTGCCATGCAAGAAGGCAAGCCCAGCCTCTCCCCACAGCTTCAAGATAAGCTAGAAATTCAGATTTTTTTTTTCGATTTTATTTATTCATGAGAGGCACAGACAGAGGAAGAAGCAGGCTCCATGCAGGGAGCCCGATGTGGGACTCGATCCAGGGACTCCCAGGATCATGCCCTGAGCCAAAGGCAGCACTAAACAGCTGAGCCACCCTAGGATCCCCTAGAAATTCAGATTTTTATGTGAAATCTCCTGGTATTTATTTGGCTACTAAGAGTCAAAAAATTTAAATACAGTCAGGTCTAATGAGATCCTCACCCAAGCTATGTTTGGCCCAGGAGGTGTTGCACACCTCTCCAGGCCTCCCAGAGCATCAGCCTGGTACCACCAGGCTAGTTCAGGAAAGCTTCCCCTCCACATGTGCACAGTGATTATCTGTTGTATTAGTTAAGCTGAAGTCTTGGAAAGGTGGGAGCAGCCAATGGGGCACACGTACTTGTCCCTTATCCCACATCTCCTGGGCATGACTGAGGCCCAGAAACAGGCTTGGCAGCTGTCACTCCATGTCAGCCCAGTGCAGGAATACTGATGGAGGACAAGGCCGCAGGCTAATGTCCCTATGCTCCTAGGATCTATGAGCAACTACTTACTCTTTTTCTTTTAAGATTTTATTTATTTATTCATGAGAGACACAGAGAAACAGGCAGAGACACAGGCAGAGGGAGAAGCAGGCTCCCTACAGGGAGCCCGATGTGGCACTCAATCCCAGGACCCTGGGATTATGACCTGAGCCAAAGGCAGATGCTCAACCACTGAGCCACCCAGGTGCCCCAGCTACTTACTCTTTGGTGTGGCTCACGTGCAAACTTTCCCTGGGGGCACTATCCCTCCCCAACTCTGCATGGCTCAGGGGTTTGGGGTAGGGCTGGATGTCCCTGACTCATAGGCAGTGACCCTTTTTTGTTCATCTATGAACAGCTGGGCTTCCTTTGGAAAGGATTAAATGTGGTTTGGGGCAGCACAAAGAACAGCTCCTCCAAGAGTGCTCCTGGGGCTAACACCCCAAGCATCATCTGGGAACCTATTAGAAATGCAGACTTTCAGGCCCTACCCCAGACCTGAGAAATGTGTCTCAGCATCACGAGGAAAGCCAGAAAACTCCAGGTGACTTTCATGCCCATTGCAGGCTGGAGAGCACAGGGCAAGCTGCTCTTTGGGACATGGACATGATTACTGATTCAAATCTGGGTCCTTGGAGAGGCCAATCTGCGTCTCCGGGGGGGGGGGGCGGGGGGCATCACTGTACAGTGCCTGGCACATAGCAAGTCCTTGGTGATGCCAGCTCTGGACATGTGATCCCAGCAGACAACTGAAACAGAGGTAGGAACCTCGTCTCAAAGCCTGTCCAGAGGGAACATCATCTCTAGCCACAGAGGTTCTCAGCAGCGATGGGGAAGAATTAGGAATTTTCACTGCCTCTTGAAGAATATCTCAGCCTTGGGTCAAATACTGATAACTGGGGGAGAAGGAAGGGGAGGGTAAGGGGCCAAGACGTGGAGGGGGAATTTGGGAAATCATCAGGCCTCCGGGTTCAGAGTGCAAATTTGAGAATGGGAGATAGGGGGGTGGGAACCGTATGAAGTCACCCTGAGCAGACAGGAGGCCATGGGAAAACCAGATCCAAGAGCCTCTGGGGCAGCACAGAGGGGCTTGGGCCTGGTGAAAGAGTGGCCTTTCCCCTCATCCTCAACGGCTAGAAGGTTCTGAAAAAGGGGCAAGACTATCAATGATGAAAAAGTGGTATTAGTAAAATCTATGCATCCCGTCTGTTGTCAAGAGATGCTGTGCATGCAAATATCACAGAGAAAAGTCTGGAAGGAAGCACCCTGTGTGCTAGTGGCATTACCAGAGCAGCGGCAGTACCAGGATGCTTTACCATCTCCTCTTCGCTGGCCTGTATTTCCTAACTTTTCTGCAAAGGATATGCACCACTTGCATAAACAAAAAAAGCAATAAAAGCTGTAAATAATTAACACACTCTCTCCTCAGGACTTAAATGGGTGGATGTGTCTTCAACTCAGTTATTGCAAATATTTACTGGATTCCTGGCCTTGGAGGGTGCCCCTGAAAAGCACACAGTTGGGGAAACTGCGCAGTTGCACTGATGGGGAACAAACCGATTCCTTTACCCACAAACCTCCAGACTCTCACCCTATACAGATGCCTCTGGAACCCCTGAGAAGATTTTCCTGGGGTAAGCAAATCACCCCTTGCAGTTTCTGACACTGGACACATGTGAGACAGACAGAGGTGGCCACACACCCTACCTTCTGGAGCAGATACTCAGCTTCTGTTTCCCGCTCCCCCGAAACATCTTTGCCTTCCTCCACGGCAGTCCCTTCTTCCATTCGGGCTCAGATACCCGCTCCTGGGACACCATCCCTGAGGCCACTGGGCAGGAGAGCTGAAAATACCAGGCATGTTGGCATCATAAAGCTCAAAGCCCTATGGTGTTAACTGGAGGCCCAGGGAACACCACAGCCAGGTCTCCCCCACCGCCCCAACTCCCCCTCTCCAGGAACCTCCATACCCAGTACCTAACTGCCTTTGGAAGGAAGGAGGGTCAAACTGGGTCTCAGATCCCCTGTCTAGGACTTAGCATATTCTTTATTAATCATCACTCTCGGGACAAAGAACAGCCTACAAGGCTCTAGAATCCAGGCCCTACCACTGTTGCGTACGATTATGTCAGACAAGAGGATCTGGGACCCTCTTCAGCTGCCTTGGCCCAAGACATCCCAGAGTAGGACATAATCCAGACGCATGGACTCGCTCTCCAGATGGGACCACAAACTTACCACTTAGTCACCAAGTAAGAGCTCCAGAGCGTCCGGCCTTTTCCATTTTAGCCACTGCTCCCAGGAAACTTGGACGAAAGTTGCATTTGATCATAGTAATAGTTTCCTGAGTCTCTGGTATAAAAACTCATGCCCTCTTTTTTTAGTTTTAAGTAATCTCTACATCCAATGTCAGGCTCAAACTCACAATTCTGAGATCAAGGATCACATGCTCTACCATCTGAGCCAGCCAGGTGCCCTAATAACTCTCACAAACATTTAAGAGATGGTGTTTCACCTGGAGTTTCTCCCTCAGTGACAATTTCTGGTTTATGATCTTATGTCACCCACAGAGCTCTCCTGGGAAGTACTTCATTTCACTTTTTACTGCTACTGCCAGGAAGCTCAGAGTTAAATTTAGTATCTAGTGATGAGAAGCATCTCATCTAGGATCTTGAGTACAAAAATTCCTTCCTTTGAAATGTATTTTTTCATGATTTAGTTTTGTGTACACTTTTGGCCTTTATCTTATCCTGCCACGTATCGAAGCCACACCTCCCTTGGGAGCAGGCTGAGAAGACATTATCACAAACAGCAGGTGTTTCAGGGGTGCCTTCAAGCCCCCTATCCATCATTAGGAATCCTGCCTGCCAAGCACACTCCCCCAGCCCCGGGGCCCCAGGCAAAGGAGGATGTTACCTTTGATGTCTGGACCTGCCCTCCTTCTCCCAGGCCTGTCCTCGTCTGTCCTCCCACCATTGCCCTGCTCACGGGCTGGGCATCTGGACCCTTGTCCTGGGGGCTGCCACCAAGGAAGTGCAGTGCCAAGTATACAGAAGCGGCCTTTTCCTTCTGCTCTCTGGGCAGAGGCAGGCTTCGGCTCAAGCAACACCACGTGAGTCGGGGCTCAGCCCTCAATGATGGGAAAGGGCTGTGGGCCCTGAAGCTCCACCCGGTGTCTGAGTGGGTACACGAGGCCAGCTCTGGCCAGCTGGGAGGAGTGGGGGCCAAGAGGAAGGAGTGGCAGGAATTGAGCCCAGCCAGAGGCCCTGAGGGAGGGTCTTCCGGGACATTCTCAGGAGATCCCCCCAAGTCCCTGCTGAGTGCACAGGGACTCAGGACACCACCAGACAGCCTGGCCCCGACCGCAGTCCTGCCCATGCAGGGGTGTCGGGTGTCAGGGGTCCCACTCTTCCGGGTAGCACACGTTGGGGTGGGCAGGAAGGAGGTTTTCTCCCTAGGGGCTCCGGTAGATGAGCCAGGGGACTGTCCCGCTGTTGGAGTGCCAGTGTCCATGTCTCCTTTCTCCTTTCCCTGCACACCCTTGTTCCTGCCCCATGGCCTGGACCAGCTGGGGTCCTCCTCAAAGCTTTGTGCCCCACCAAGGACCAAGCCCGAGGCTGGGCAGGGAGGCAGGAAGGTCCCCAGCCCTGACCCAACAAAGGATGTCTGTTCTTCGGGCCACCTTCTCCTACAGAGAGGGTCCTGGACTTGTCCTGGCCCCAGGGCCACAGAAGCTGGTGGATGGGTCTCTCCCTGAGGCAACCTGAGGAGGTACTTGGGGGGGAAGAGGGTATCTACCAGGGCAGTGAGGGCACCAGACGCCCGAGACTGAGCAGCCAGGTGGGATGGTGCTGCAGGATGTGGCAAGATCTCTTCCCTCAGCCCCACCTGCCTCGGGGCCACAGAAGGAGCAGCAGAAGCACCGCAAACCTCCAAGGGCTTGCACGGCTGCCCAGCTCTGCCCCTCGCCACGCTATCAGTGCTCTCACGTAGCCCCCCTGGCTTATCCCCAGAGTCACTGTCCTGGTTCTGAGATGGCAGAGAGGTGGCCTGCAAAGGGCCACCTGGGGCCATCGTTTCTGTTCCTGGAGGCTCTGATTGCTCCTGGCAGCTCAGCTTCTCCACTTTCAGCTTCTTCCTCTCTGAGGGGAGCTTGTTTTCTGAGGCCTGGGGCTCCCCAGAGCTACCGCTGGGCCGCCTTGGCACAGTGTGGGTCCACGGACAGGTCTCCTTTCCCCCACCATCACAGGTGCCTCCTTCCAGCTCAGGGTCTGGCAAAACTGGTGTGGGAGCCTCTAGGTCACCTCCCTTGAGGGGACCGGGTGCTGGGGGCAGCTGACACCCCAGCCCCAGCCTTTCATCTGGAGAAAGCAAAGGGCTTTTGCTGCCCAAACAGGGGGGTTCTCTGCAGTTGAAGGTGGGGGGTGAGGTGGCCCTGTTCACCCCAGGCTGGTCACTGACTCCTGCTCTGGTGACCATCTCCCTCTGCTTGGGGGGCTCTATCACCAAGAAGCCCTCCGGGGCCAGTGAACTTCTGCAAGGTCCTGGTTTGGCCCCCACAGGTGCATCCCCATGGATAGGGTATCTCCTGTCCTGGGATGAGACTATGCCCTCATTCCCTGGTAGCTCTTCCTGGAGAGGAAAGTCCAGCTCTGTCCTACTACCCACTGTCACCTCCTTCGTCTTCTTGCCTCCGTGGCAGCTGGTTTTCATTTTCTGGTAGATTCTCTTGAATGTCTCATTCCCATACACCTGCCACTTATCCTGGGAGAACATCTTCAGCTTCCTCTGGCTGCATTTCTTATTGGCTGCTCTGCCCTTGCTGGCTGCCCCCTCCCCAGCAGCAGCTTTGTTTCCATCTGGGTCTTCTGCGGGGACCAGGCTGTCTCCAGTGGGGGGAAAGAGAAGGTCCTCCACAGCAGTTTGTCTGACCAAGGCCCGAGGGGGACCGCTGAGGACATCCACCAGTCGGGTGGGGGCAGGCTTGGGGCTCAGAGGTTTCTGCCTCCTGGGGCAGGCGTCCCTGGGGTCCAACGGTTCCTGCCAGGTCCTGGTGCCCTCGACAAAGGGCAGTGAGTTGCTCCTGGTGATAGGCACGCACGCCACGGTAGTGGAGAGCTGAGTGGGGACAGAGTGAAAGAAGAGCGGCCTTGCCCTGTCCGGAGGGATAAAAGTGGACCGGGCCGAGCTGACAGTGGCAGGCCTCCTCCGGCTAGGCTGCAGCGCCCGAATGTCAAAGTGGAAGGAGTCCTTATAGGTGTAGGGCATGGGCAGGTCGATGCTACCTTGCTTGCACAGGACCGTCTTGCGGGGTCGCACATTGTCCAGTTGGGAATCATCCACCACAGCCTGGTTGTGGGAGATGAGCCAGGCGATACGCTCCTCCAACTGCTTCTTCTCCAACTGCAGGCCGGGTCCCCCGGGCCCCAGGGCCACCTCCCCCTCAGACACGGTGTTGTGCTCCAGAGGGCTGCCAGGGGCCGGCGGCTGCTCTGCGCTGTCCGAGCGGGACAGGTAGCCCGAGTCAGTGCTCTCACACTTCCGCAGCCGGCCCTCTGAGGCTTTGGCGTCCCAGGGCTTCTCTGAGGATGTCGCCATCTGCTGCTGTTTCAGGGAGCACAGTCGGCTGGCAGTCGGGGATGTCTGCTCCGGTGGCTTAAACCTTGGCTGGCAGCCAGCCAGGGCAAGCCCAGGGGAGGCTGGATGGGCAGCAGCATCCATGGGGGTCTCTCTGTCAGCAAATGTGGATCCTGGACAGGGAACGGCTTCCAACTTCAGACCCAAGGTCTTGGTAACAGAAGGTAGACGCATGGCAGACACTGAGCACTGCCCAGCACCTTGGGCGCCTGGACAAAGGGGTCTCTCTGGTCGGGCCCCACCACCCACCCTCTGGCTGCAGCTGTCCCCCATGGCATCTGCTCTGGAGCTCTCTCCAGCCTTCTCCCCCTCCTCCAGGAGGCTGCCCCCACCTCCATCGGACTCTGAGGACAGCCGAGAGTGGTTGAGGTGGGTCTGGGTGCGTCTGTGCTTATACAGGTTGCTCTGGGTCTTAAAGGCAATGCCGCAGGTGGCACACGGGAAGGGCCTCTCACCAGTGTGGGACCGGATATGCTTCTCCAAAACACTGGGCTTCAGGCAATCCCGACCACAGTGTGGACAAAGGTACTTGCCGGCATTCCGTACCTTGCCAGGGCTACCCAGCGTGGGCCCCACGCCTGGTGACAGGACAGGCAGAGTGCCCACGATGTTCACGGTGAGTGCCGGGGCTGCTGGCTTCCCCACCTGAGTAGGGCCTGGTCCTTCAGGCCGCAGCAGGGGGCTGAGAATAAAGGGTACACTGCCCCCATCCAGGCTGCGTGTCACTAGAGGGGCACGTGGCTGGAGGCCCCCTGGAGGCACTGTGTGGTACAATGGAATGGGCAGGGCCTTCAGGAACACGGTAGGGGCCAGACCCTGCTCCGGTGGCAGAATGACAGGACCCAGGGTCAGGTGAGGTGAGACCTGCCCACCTGGGGCTCCTGGCTGTCCAGGAGCAGGAGCTGGCTGGTCCCTGGCAGGCGAGGCAGGGCGACTGAGTTCTGGCACCTCCATTCTGTATCATCTGGGTGGCCCAGGATGCCTGGCAACCTGTAGGCAACAACCAAACTTTACCATGGGTACCTCTCTTTTCTCATCATGCAATAAACTCTTCCCTGCCCCCACCTGGCATTTCATCATCCCAATGAAGCCTGGTAACAATCCCCTGAGAGAAGTACTGCTACCCCACACTACAAAAGGGAAGACAGAGGCTCAGAGAGAAGTACCTGACATGCAGCTAATACATGGCAAAGCAGAATCTGGACACAAGGCTGTCTGAATACTGCCTCTTACTTCACATGCCCTAAGGGAACTCTTGACTCTTGCCCTCTACACAGGTCCATGGTAGGCTTGTTGTCACTGTCATCCCCCAACACGCAGCACAGTGTAGAGGGGACACTCAGGAAATGTGCTGACTTCATGAAAAAGAAAAGTCGTGTAGCTCAGCAAGGTCCTCAAAGTCCATACTGGTTCCATGCTGGGACTTGGTTCCCAGATCTGTAAAATGGGCAGAGAAACAGCACCTCCCTAGGCTCTCTTCACTCTGGAGTTCTTAGTCTATGCTGTTGGATGAGGACAATGAGGAAGAAAATGGAACTGAAGGGAAGCCTAACAGATTTAGCAAATGAAAATAGAAAACTCCTAGCTAAATGAATTTCAGATAAACAATGCATAGTTCTTTAGTGTAAGTATATCCCAATCTTGCATGGGTCATGCTTATACTAAAAATTATGCATTATTTACCTGAAATCCAAATGTAATGGCAGCCTGTATTTTATCTGGTTACCCACCAGGATAAGGAGCACTTCCTCAACCCCAGGACTAGGCTTGGGTTTCTGCTCAGAGGTGGGGCTTCCAAAACCCCTCCAGATCCAACTAGGGCACAATTAGCTCCCTCTCAGCCAGAAGGAAGAGCTGGGAAAATATCTGGCAAGACAGCAAGAGAGATCCAGCCAGGTTCTACAAACTATGGGAAGGAAAGCTAGAAACAATGGGAAGAGGAAGGACAGGCCCATGGCTACATGAATGGGGGTCTCCAGATGCTTTTTGCTCAGACAACCATGCCCTAGGAGCTTCATAAGCACATTTTGATCACCCCCCAACTCAACTCCTTAAGAAAAACAAAAGATATATTCTAGACTTTTGCATCAAACTGGGTAAGGAAGAAGTAGTGGCATGTAGGAACTGGTTCATACTGGCTCATACCAGCTCACACTAGCTCATGAGAGCTGATTTTCAGGAATTTTGCAAGCCAGTTGTTAAATATGGCCATAATTAAGAGTTAGATTATATAAACTTATAAAAAACAAAGGTATATGACTGGATATTCACATGCAAAAGAATGAAGTTGAACTCCCTAACTCACTTCATGTACAAAAGTTAGTTCAAAATTGATCAAAGACCTAATTAAATGCAAGAGGTAAAACTACAAAACTCTGAAAAGAAAACATAGGAGTAAATCTTCATGACCTTGGATTTGGCAACGAGTTCTTAGATTTAGAATCAAAAGCATAAGCCATTTTTAAAAAACCTTTTAAAATCATGTTTTATATAATTTTATAGTAAACTTTTTAAATTTTACTTTATACCAACTTTTTAAATTTTTTTTTACCAAAATTAAACTTTTGTGCATCAAAGGACTAGTGAAAAGACAACTCACAGGATTAGAGAAAGTATTTGCAAATCATCTAACTGGTATGTCCAGAATACCTAAAGAATTTTCACAACAACAAAAAGGCAACTACTCACTAAAGAATGAGCAAAGAACTTGAATACACATTTCTCCAAGGAAGATATATAAAGAGCCAAAAACACATGCAAAGATGCTCAATACAATCAGTCACTAGAAATATGTAAAGCAAAAACACAATGAGATACGACTTCACACGAACTAGCATGTCTACAGCAATAACAACAAGCTGGAAATGACAAGCATTGCTGAGGATGTAAGGAAATCAGAACATGTTGAGTGCCACTTCTGGGAATGTAGATGGTGAACAACATTTTGGAGGCTCCTCAAAAAGTGACACATAGGGATCCCTGGGTAGCGCAGTGGTTTAGTGCCTGCCTTTGGCCCAGGGCACGATCCTGGAGACCCGGGATCGAATCCCATGTCGGGCTCCTGGTGCCTGGAGCCTGCTTCTGCTTCTCCCTCTGCCTATGTCTCTGCCTCTCTCTCTCTCTCTCTCTCTCTCTCTCTCTCTCTCTCTCTCTCTCTGTGTGTGTGTGTGACTATCAAAAAAAAAATTTAAAAAAAAGTGACACATAGAACTATCATATGACCCAGTAATTCAACTTCTCGGTACACACCCCAAAGAACTGAAAATAAGGGTTCAAATAAAAATTTGTACATGAATGCTTCTTATAGCAGCACAATTCAACACAGCCAAAAAGTGAAAACAACCCAAGTGCCTACTGACAGATGAATGGATAAACAAGATGCATGCAATGGGGTATTTTTCAGCCATAATGAGAATGAAGTGCTGACACATGCTACCACAGGGATGAACCTTGAACATATGATGCTGAGTGAAAGAAGCCAGACCCAAGAGGTCACACATTGTAGCATTCCATTTATACGAAGAATCTAGACTAGGTAAATTCATAGGCAGAGAAAGCAGACTACAATGGTTGCCAGGGATGGACAGGTATATGCGTGGATAACCGTTTGGGTGCAAGGCTTCCTATTGCAGTGATGACAATGTTCTGGCAGTGGTAAGACATTATGAATGTACTTGAATGCTGCCGAAATGTCCACTTTAAAATAGTTAAAATGATAAGTTTAATGTTACATGACTTTTACCTCAATAAAAAAAAGGTACTAAATACTTAAAGCTCATCACTTGCTAATTATATTTTATTATATCTTACCATTATCAGTGCTCTGGGGTTAGTTATGTTGACTGCATTGGCTTCATGGAAATGCCATGTAATGGTGCGGCACTCCATGTCACTGTTTCTTCCCAACTTCAGGTTCTGTGATGTCATGTTCATAGCCTGGGACTGGCTGTGGTGGGGGTATTCACACCACAGAAGTTGGCAAATGCTATAAGCCAGTCTTCCTTTTTTTAAGATTTTATTTATTTACTCAACAGAGAGAGAGAATGTAAGTTAAAGCAGTAGGCAGAGGAAGAAGGAGAAGGAGAAACAGGTTCCCCACTGATCCCAGGACCCTGGTATCATGACCTGAGCCGAAAGCAGAAAGCAGACACTGCGTGAACCACGCAAGGGCCCCAAGCCAGTCTTTTTTTAATCCTGAAACCAACTCTTCCATCCTCCGTTCCACATAGACCTAAAGTTATGGCTCTCAAGCCACCACGCCACTCACCTCAAAACATTTGACATGTTATCATTTTCTGAAGGAAGATTTAAAGACAAAAATCTTTAGAGATCATTAGAGGGTACTGGAATTCCTCAGTGTTGATGTTGAGGGAAGACAATGGCTCACCTCAAGATGCTGTGTCCTTTCTACTAGCTTCCCAGGGGAACCATCAGACTGAGTTCCTGTCCCTGCTTCCTTGGCTTCCTGGCAGGTATCCCTGAGACCCAGATCCCTCAGTTCTGAGAACAGGTCACTCTGCCAGAGCCACAGGGAGGATCATCTGAAATAGTCTGTGAGAACACTGAGTGCAGCACCAGGCAGGGAGTAGTATTCCACTTATCGGGGTTTCTACAGATAAGCCTTGATATTGTGCACTATTAACCAGTGAGTCCTCCCCACCCTTTCTTCCCTCCTACCCCACCTCTTCCCCCATCAGCATCAGTCAGCAGGCCCCAGTCACTGCTTCTGAAAAGAAATGCTATCTCATGTGAGGTTCCTCAAAAAAAAGATGTCATCACGAGGAATCTGTTTGGGAGGTAATCCCAGGGAACACTCGTAGGGGAGAGAGAAAGATGAGATGAAGGAAGCTATAAAATGTGTGTCATGGGGCAGGTGAGCTTGATACCAAGGAGGAATGACGAGAGATCAAATATAACACACAACAGGGGCACCTGGGAGGCACAGCAGTTGAGTGTCTGCCTTTGGCTCAGGTCATGATCCCCGGGTCCTAAGATCGAGTCCTACATCAGGCTCCCTGAACAGAGACTGCTTCTCCCTCTGCCTGTGTCTCTGCCTCTCTCTGTGTGTCTCTCATGAACAAATAAAATATAAACACAAACACACACACACACACACACACACACAGCGAGAGAGCCGTCATACACCTAAGAAGGTCCTCCTGACAGCAGTGAGGTGCTGGCTATGCAGATGGCCAAGTGCACACACTGGGCAGGTCTGGGGGCCCTAGAAAGCTGTCAGGCCCACAGTGCTACCCAAAGCTGGCTCCAACAAGTGCAAGAGGAGATGGGTAGGCAGGGCTCTCCCTGGAGTTGCTATGATACAAACAGAATAAAGTCTTCTAGATTCCAGAGCCTAAAGCCTAAGGAGGAAATCCATTTCCCAATCATCTTTTATGATGGCCCCTGAATTGGGAGGAGGTGGGAGGAAGAAGTAGTGAAAGGAAAAAAAGTCTTCCAAAGTTGGCTTCAGGGAGAGCTGAATAGGGGGGTGACCTGAACCCCACTTCCTGGGGCAATCAGGTGAGGGCCCAGGACAGAGCAAAAACAGCCCATGATGCATGTCCAGGCAAGCAAGATGGAGGAAGCCTACGTGGTTCCCACGCTGCAGAGTGAATACCTGAGCCCCACCGAAGGGCCCCGGAGCAACCAGGAAAACTCAACTTGGGTCCTGGGGGTCCCTGAGGGCTGAGCACCATGTGCCCCCTGAAATCAGCCCATCCTTGGGGGAAGGAGAAAAGAAGCCCAGACTGCCGCGGACAAGTGTGGGGCTTCAAAATAGAAATTCCAGAAAAAGAGTGTTACGTTTCTGACACACGTGCCACAATGATTATTTTGCTCTCTCTGCAGCCTGTTCTGTGATCACAGCAAAATTGACGCCTTTTAGGAGCAGCTGATCCCTGCCGGCAAGATAATGAGCCAACTGACACCTTCCTCCAGGGAGATGGCACATTTCT